AACCCATCTCAAAAGTAACAAAATCAAAACAGAACATGTAAACAAGAAGAAGAAATGAAAAGATGCTAGTCTCACTTGTAACAATGTAAATACAAATACAAATAAATACAATGTAAATACAAATTAAAGCCACTAATTTAACTGCAGGTGACAATGTGGAGCATCCAGGAGAATAAACAGTAACGACTTTGAAAAGTTTCTGTCTTATTTATTAAATCTCAACACATATACAACCTATGATCCAGTAATTTCACCAGGGCCAACATAATGGATGTACACGTATAAGAAAGTTCCTAACAAGGCTGAAAACTCCAAAAGTCCTTCAATAGTAGACGAGATGGGACCAGGGAGATAGCTCAGTAGAATAAGCACTTGTCTGGCAAGCGCAGGGCCTGAGTTCAATCCCTGGTTCAAAAAAAAAAAAAAAAAAAAGTAGACGAGATGAATAAATTGTATTATTCATCCCAGAGATTATCAACTAGCAATAGACACGAAAGAATTACTGTTGCATGGGACAGTATAAATAAGAAACCAGTCACACATTAAAAAAAAAAAAAAAAAACATAGTTATGATTACATTCATTGAGTATCATGATCAAAACTGGCAAAATTAACTTCTGGTGTTAGATGTTAAGATGATAGTTATTCCTAGGGAAAATGCAAAGAGCAATGATAAGCTGGAACACTAGGGTAATTTCTAAGGAGCAGGAATACTACATGACTTGGGTTGTGGCTGCAGGATATATTCACTTTGCAATGATCTGCCAAGCTCAATACTTATGCTTCATGAACTTCTTTGCATGTACAGTGTATTTCAACAAAAAGTAAAAACAGAAAACCAGCTCTGTACTTTACAATTAGTCTTTTACACTAAGCAACTTGCAAGCTTGTTGCTATTTTTCCCTGTTTCTTTGAATTTTTGCTGTAACATTTGGCAAACACACGTGTATTCCCACATGTTAACATCCCCCATCCAGTCCAAAGATATAAACTGACAAAGGAACAGATTAGCCTGCTTTTCTTTTTCTTTTTTTGAGACAGGGTGTTGCTATGCAGTTCAGGCTGGCCTTGTGTTTACTTTTTTGTAGCCCCCAAGCTGATCTGGAACTCATAGTAATCCTCTTGTCTTAACCTTCTGAGTGCTGGAATTACAGGCGTGCACCACCACACCCAGTCTTGGTGCTGACACAGCATGCAGGGCCTCGGATTCAACTCAGGCCTTTCCACTTGCCAGATAAGTGTTTATGCCTCTGAGCTACCTCTCCAGTCACTAGCTTGCTTTTCAATGACAGATGCAAAACTGAAATCATTCAGTAAAAATAGTCCACATACAAAACATAGTATTCTCAAGGTCAAGTCTAAATTTCCTATTCTGCATCTTTACTTCAAATAGCAAGATTAGTTTTCAAATTTTACCTTTCAAATTTGAGAGACAGAATGTTCTTTTTGTTTACATGCCTAGCACATGCATGCACGTGCGCGCATGTGTGTGTACTTGTCCGTCGTGCTGGGATTGAACTCAGGGCCTTATGCATTCTAGGCCAAGTATTCTACTGCCAGCTGTGCCCCCAGCCCTGTTAACTGAATTTTACAGTGGGACTAATCTCCTCAAAACTCACTAAGAACAGCAACTGTGCTTCATTTTATATATATGAAAGTTCCAATTAGCAGTGAGGTACTCTGGAACAAATATGTCCTTTCTCCTAAACCCTCAATTATCTAGCCTCAATTTTTCTTTTTTTTTTTTTCCTAGCCTCAATTTCTGAAATGAAATAAGTGGGGGGGGGGGGAATGCATTATTCTTATACCCTGCCAATGAGAATTCTGTACAGTGATGAGATGTAGGTTTGTGGGTGTCCACAAAACAATGGGTGAGTACACACATATGTCTAAATAACTAAAACCTGAATACTGCGTTCATCTAATTAATCCTCAGTGTTCCATCAGTTATAGGATTTCAAGTTCTAAGAAGTATCATGTGCCAGAGAAACAATGAAAAATAAAAACTCAAAACAGTAAGACTTAAGTCTTAGTCCCCCCCCCCCCGCCCCTTTCCACAGTACTAGAGAGTAAATGTGATGCTTCATGCATCAGGCAAGCATCGACCACTAAGCTATACTCCAATCCCTCAAAATTCTTTAATGTTTTAAATTTTTCTATTCATTACACAATTTTCTTTCTCTCCTTATTTCAATTTCTAACTCATATGACTTTTTTCTTCTCTTAAGTGAAACTAATTGCTGTAGTCTAGGCAAAATGTTTCCAAATAGCTTTATCTCTCCCTCTCTCCCTCCCCACTTCTCTCTCTCTCTCTCTCTCTCTCTCTCTCTCTCTCTCTCTCTCTCTCTCTCTCTCTCTCTCTCTCTCAAAGTTGCCAATATAGCAGAGTCAAAGGTATGAACAGCTGGCATGTGTTGGCAAGAGCTGATATATAATTCTTTTTTACAAAGGAAAAGTGCTCACTGTTCAAGATCAAACTACCAGTAACTACAGATCCACACCTCAGAAAATCTAACATGCCTGCTTAGTGCACATTCCATAGCAAATCTTTAGACACTGCCCGCCTCTGATGAGGCCACAAAAGGATGGTAGTACTGTACATCTGACGCCAATGTTTCGACTTGTTTTTCCAGTCCCACAAGTAACAGGTCAACCAGTCACACAGGGACTCCATTTTAAAGACAGCCCCAGCAACTGAGAAACAAGTTAGATCAGAAAATGCTGCCCATCTTACATGACAGTGGCAGCATTACCACCAAGAAAATACTTCAAGTTGTTGATTCAAACTAACGGCAGTAAGGCAAAGGTCTGTTCCTGATATTATACTCCAGGCCACAGGATAACATCTCATAGGTTATTAGGGGTGTAGCAATGAGAAAATGGGGGGACTTCCAACCCCATGGATGAAGTCTCAGTTCAGTTTCAATAACCCTAGAATAGAAAAACCAGTATTTCTTGCTAGACCTTTCCACACATATAAGGAAGTCCCTTATCAGCTGTTCTTATAAGGTGCTTCTTAAAATAATTAAGGCACTCTCAGGCAAAGGGTTTTTGAATGGAACATGTTTCAGTTTAGCTTTATTTCTCCTTATGAGACTAGCAGAAACTCCCTCCTAGTGGGCATGGTAGGGTATGCCTACAATCCCAGCACTCAGGAGGCTGAGGCAGGAGGATCACCTTGAGCTCAAGGCCAGCCTGGACCAGAACAGCAAGATTCTGTCTAGGAAAAAAAAAAAAAAACAATGAACAAAAGAAAGTCAGTCCTGCCTGGTTTTCTGCACAAAGTTTCTATTCAAAATAACACATATATAAGACAAGCAAAGCATGAAACAAATGAGTTTTGGCTGGTGTGCAGTGATATGCTCCTTGACTGCAGTTCTCTAGGAGGCTGAGGCAGGAGGATTACAAGTTCAAACCTAGCCTGGGCAGCTTGATGAGATCCTGTCTCAAAATATAAAAACTAAAGAGGGATGGAGGAATGCAGCTCAGTGCAAAGGCCCTGGGATCAATCTCCAGTACTACCTAAAAAGAAAATTTTTTTTTCAACTGAGAAAGGATGGAAAAACAGAGATCTCTATGCAATGACAACAACAGAGAACATCAACATCATCAACAAACTAAACCAACAGAAAAATGGCACAGAGCAATCTTACCTCTTGGAAGGCCCAAACTAACACACAGTGAAAACAGCCTGTGGGCAAAATGTTACACAGGTGATTTAACCTTAGACCACAGAAAAGTTTCTAGGGCCAATTAATAAAAATGCTACTCCTTGTACTAGAGATGTAGCTCTGCAGCACAGAGCTTGCCTAACATGAAAGGCTCTCAGTTTGATCTCTACCAAGGGACAATAATTATTGTCATTTACTAAGCACTTGCTCTGTGCCATGCCCTGTATCACCCATTTTCATAATTCCCTCTTTTCTTTTTCTTTTTTTTAAAAATGTATTTAGTACAGGGTCTACAGGATCTATAGAGTCCCACTGCACAGCTCAGACTCGTTTTCAGCCTCCCAAGCACTGGGATGACAGGCGCACGCCACCATGCCCAGTCTCAAGCACTGTCTCAGCACACCCCAGGGGCGGGGCTGGCACAGCATGCTGGGGTGCCTTAGTTTACTGAGCTATCTGGCCAGCCCTAGATTCCCTCATTTGATCACAACCCTATGAAGCATATACTGACTCCAGATCTGTTCCCGAAGTTCATGGTCTAAATAACCACTATTATATATAAAAAAGAATTAAGCCAGTCTCTGAGGAGTATAAAGAAAACTTATTACGCTCTCAGTAAGTTAAAATCCCCTTGGAGGCCAGTCTCAGCTACAATAGTGAGTTCAAGGCCAGCCTCAACTACATAGTGAGATCCTGTCTCAGAAAACAAGACTTGGCTCAAAACTGAAATATCCTCCTGAAATTCTTGACACTATTCTACTGCACCCTCAAGGCATTTGACATTTTCTGTGTGTTTCAGTTACTTGTGTTGTTTTTTTTTTTTTTTAATTTTATTTATTTGTGTGTTTGTGTGTGTGTGGCCAGCAGAGCCCACCAGGGGGCGGGGCTGGCTGGCATGTGGTGCTGGGGGATTGAACCGCGGTCCTTGTGCTTTGCTAAGCTTGTTCTAAGTAGGTGCTTTAGACCACTGAGCCATCTCACCAGCCCTGTTTCAGTTACTTGTATCTGTGCCTCACCTCCATCTTTTACTCCACAAGCTCTCTGACGACTTTACCACAGTTCATATAAGCATAATCCTTCTCACAATGCTGGCACTCAACTGCTTGTTTTATATATACACGCCACTTAGTTTAATTTATAAACACCAATCAAAACACCAATTAAGGCCATCTCACTGTAAGGTTTCTTAAAGGGCCATGTGGTGCCAGTGCCATTCAAGGGTAAAGCTTGAAAAAAAAAAAAAAAAAAGATCATTTAACAAACAACATCATATTAAAATGTTCTACTCCTAAAATTCTTCACATAGTCAAACACTCCCACTGTTAATACCTTTGACAATAATGCTGCAGTTCCAGATTTTACAAATTTTCCTCCTGTAGATGCTGAAGAGCTGTTTTCAGGCTTAATTTTCTCTACCGTTTGTGTTTTACTTGTCGCAGACACTTTAGGCACTGAGCCAACACTCCTGCTTGCTTTCTTCATTCTGGGCTGCCTCTTTATGATGCATTTACAATCAAATCTGTGAAAAGAAATGGAGAACAACAAATTGGAAAACAGCTCTTAATAAAGGCTTTTGAAGGATTTTTTGTGAACTTTTGAAAATTTTTATGATAAAAATGTTTGAAAGCCAGCTGTCACTACAAAAAACAAATGAAACAGCTTCCTCCTCAAATAATACTAATTTGAAACTATGTTGTGTATTCCAGTTCACTGAGTACAAAAATGCCCTATTTTCAATGCTTCCTATTTTCAACTCTTCATAACGATTACTAATTTGAAATTATTTTGTACATTCTAGTTCACTGAATAAAAGGAATGTCCAACCTCTCTAGTAGAATTAAGTATAACACAGTGAACATTATCTTCAACATTAAATGAAAAATAATCATCTTGGCAATTGGGAACTAGCAGTCTGCTGGTATCTGGGGGTGATACAAATATACAGAAATGCCCTAATTTCAAATATTTGTTGTATTATTCCCACCTCAGCAGGCAGAATATCACTGAAATACCAACATTCAGAATCTAAATGTATTTTCCAGCACAGCATATTTTTTTTTTATCAAGAAGCAATATAGGGGCTGGGGAGATAGCTCAGCAGTCTAAGCGCCTGCCTGGCAAATGGAAGGACCCGGGTTCAGTCCCCAGTGCCACATGCCACACCAGACCCAGACATGCTGTGCTGGCATGTGGAAGTGCATGCCTGTAATCCCAGCACTGGGAAGGCTGAGACAGGAGAAATACTAGAAGTTCAAGCTGCATAGCAAGACCTTATACCAAATAAATAGATAGATAAATGATTTTTTTTTTTTAAAGCGGTACAGAAATTCCTTATCAAAGCACTGTCCCCAACTGGTGGTTCAGAAAATAAGACTACCCTATAAAGTTTTAAACAGTATGACAGTTCTTTCACCTAAGTGATACATACTTTATTTCAAGCCAGGGAAGTTTGGAATAACACTGGCAGTGCACAAAGCTGAAGTTAGATAATCCCCTAAATATATTTGTTAGCTAGAAAAGTAGTCTCTATAGTAATATTTTTGGGAAGACATACTGGATCATTGTGTTCAGGGCGATACAATTAACCAAGTAAAAGCCTATTTTGAAAGTATGGTAGTTTACATAGGATAAATCTAAGGCACCACACTGAATATAAGAATTCATCTATTTTACGAAGGTATCTACATACTAACAAAAATGAAAAAAAGAGCTGGGGAGGTAGCTTGGTGGTCTAAGAGCCTGCCTGGCAAGTGCAAGGACCCAGGTTCGCTCCCCAGTACCGCATGCTATGCTGGCTTCAGAACCACATGTGGTGGTGCACTCCTGCAATTCTAGCACTGGGGAGGCTGAGACAGGAGGATCACTATGAGTCCAACCTGCAGAGTGAGACCCTGTATCAAATAAATAAAAAAAGATTTTTTAAAAAGTGAAATAGGGGCCGGGGAAATGGCTCAACAGAATAAGCACTTCCCTGGCAAGCACAAGGGCCTGAGTTCAATCCCTGGTTCCGCCAAAAAAAAGTGAAATAAAAGGCTGGCCAAATAGTTCATGGACTAAGGCACCTGCTTAGGCAGAAGCAGTCGATCCCCCAGGGCACGCCCAGACAGCAATTGAGACTGGGTGTGGTAACCTGTAATCCCAGCTCTTAGGAGGCTGCAAACAGGAGGACCACTATGAGTCCGATCTTCCGATCTACTAGTGAGACCCTTTAGACCCTCTACTAACTACATTTTTAAAAAAAAAAAAGTGAAATAGTATGTTTGGAAAAGAAAAGGCTCATTCCAACAGGCTGAGTATTTTATGTAGAGTGGGCTTTATCTTGCTTTCACACACCATCACACATCACCACAGCACAGTGAGGCAGGGCAAGAGGGCCCTGCTCCTCCCTCAACATAATAAAGCCTTAGAAGCAAAGGGAACATGCCAATACCCAGTGAAACTTCAAGGAATCTCTTGAAAATGATGTACATAATCAAATTAACTATTCATTCTTAAACCTTTTGCTTTCTACTCTTTTTCATTTACATAATCTGCCTAGAGTAAGCACTCCTTCTACATCAGCTCTACCATTTATTTCCCACATCTTCCGAGACAATATTGAAAATGACCAAAACAGACTCAAGGAGTTTCCAGTAACAGACAAAATACACAGTCATACTGATCCCTGCCAGTCAAATTTATGATTTTTTCACAAAATAAATTACACAAATCAGATCTGCTAACTTAAAGTATTGTTAAAAAATCAAATCAGGGGGTGGGCCTGATAGCTCAGCACACTAAAGCACATGCGTAGGGCAGACACAGGGACTCAGTTGGATCCCCACTATGCCAGTCCTGCCCCTGTGGCGTGCCAAGACAGCAATTGAGACTGGTGTTGTCGTGCACCTGTAATCCCAGCTCTTGGGAGGCTGAAAACAGAGGAGGATCATGATGAGTCCAATCTGTGTAGTAAGACTCTGTACTAACATTAAAAAAAAAAAAAAAAAATCAAATCAAGTTCTAAGAGCCTTCATCTCCCACTTGCCAACTTATGCATGTGCTCTGTAAATGATTCCCCAAAGTTTCTTTTCTCCTCCAAATATTTCATAACTGAATTCCTTTCTACTATACCAATCAGATTACCATTCTCTGCTTACTCTTCCAGCCCCCATCAAATTGAATTTTTTGTTTATCTTTTGAGACAGGGTCTCATCTAGTACTTCAGGCTGGCCTCAAACTCATGAAAATCCTCCTGCCTCAGCTTTCTGAATGCTGGCATTACAGGGATGTGCCACCACGTCCAGCCTCAAACTGACACTTTCCAAGCCAGAACTGTTTAACAGAACTTACAACAATAATGAAAATATTCTGTATCTCTAAATATGCTAACAGGACAGATACTAGGAGCCACTTATTGGCTACTTAGCAGTCAAAATGTGGCTAGTGTGACTGAAGAATTGGATTTTGCATAATTTAAATTTAAAACTATTGCCAGGCTACAGCTGAGTTCAAGATCAGCCTGAAAAGTATAGTGAGACCCTGTCTCCAAGAATTTTTTTTTTTTTTTAAATTTATGGAAGGGCTGGAGATACAACTTCATGTGAAGGCCCTGGGTTCATTCCCCAGCACCACCAAAATAAAAGGATCAAAGTATTGTTACATAATACAACATGGATAAACCTTAAAAAGACATTAGAAGAAGCTAGGGATCAATTATGTGATTTCATTTATATAATTTATGTACACTAAGCAAACTCATGCAGATAGAGAAAGCAGATTAGTGATTACAAGGAATTAGGAGTGGGGGTGGATACAGACTGATTGCTAATGGGTATTAGATTTCTTTTAGGATGATACAAAATTAGACTAGTTATACAACTCTGTGACTAGACTAAAAAAACTGTAAAACAAAATAAAATTTGGAGATAGGGTCTTGATATATACAATCTTGGACTTACTACATAAGCCAGGATGGCCTCAAACAGCAATACTGCTAACTCAGCCTGCTGAGTGCTGGAATTACAGGTATAGGTCACCATGCCCAATAGAAATGCTAAATTTTATATTTTAAGGGAGTAAACTACATGACAAATTAATTTATTCAATTAAGGTATAATTTTTAAACTAATAACTACCATAAAAAAGAATTTTGGGAAACTACCCCAGCCCTAAAACACCAAGCAAGGATATTATTTTGGAGAGGTCCTAAAGGACACATGCACAGCAAAACTGATGAGAACGCTGAGATGCAGTCTGGGCCACAAGGCTGGCAAGTTGAGATCTGTTACACCAGCAGTTCTCACACATCACAGCACTTTCTCTAAAACTATGTAAAATATACCTTTATTATCCTGGCATGAAATTCAGAGATAATTTATTACATATGTATTTTTTTCTTAAAAAATATATATAACAAGAATATAATAAAAATAAAAGTTATGATAAACATGAATTTCATTGGGCGTGGTGGTGCACACCTGTAATCCCAGAGCTGGGGAGGCTGAGACAGGAGGATCACTACCAGCCCAAGCAGACAGCAAGACCCTGTACCAAATAATGAATACATAAAGAAAAGATTAAGAAAAACATGTATTTCAGTATGCAAAATTTTATCATTCAATATATAAAATTTTATCAAGGTCTGTAAAATAGTGATCTACAACTCTAATTTTTTTTTTTTTTTTTTTTTTTTTTTTTTTTTTGTATTTAGTACAGGGTCTATAGGGTCTCACTATACAGATTGGACTCGAAGTGATATGTCTGTGTTCAGCCTCCCAAAATCTGGGATTACAGGTGCATGCCACCAGGCCCAGTCTCAATCGCTGTCTCAGGGCACCCCGGGGGCTAGGCCAGCACAGCATGCCAGGGATTGAACGCCAGCTCCTGCACTCTGCCTAAGCAGGTGCTTTAGTTCGCTGAGCTATCTAGCCAGCTCTTACAATTCTAAATTTAACAGGGTGAATTTGGCAGATACAAATAATCCTGATTTGGCTATGTGGTACTGGCTATTCAGCTACCACATTATCATCATAAATGCTATCTGATAATTGTCTTAAAAGGTAAACTACTCTTAGTGTGATGGTTAATTTTATGTGGTAATGCGACTGTCTGGCCTAACATTATTCTGGTTGTGTCTATGAAGATTTTATTGATTAAATTAACATTTTAATCAACAAGCTGAGTAAAACAGATTAACCTCTCTAATGTAGGTTGTCATTCAAACAGTGATCTGCATAGGACAAAACTGAGTAAGAAGAAACACCTCCTTCCTGACTACTAAGCTATCACAACTCTCCTACCTTTGAACTCCCATTGAAATGTCAGTTTTTCCTGGGTCTTGAGCCTGCAAACTTCCAGACTGAGATTTACATCATTTGCTCTCCTACTTCTCAGGCCTCCAGACTCAGAATAAAACATAACATCAGTTCTCCTGGGTTTTTAGCTTGCCATATGTAGATCCTGAGACTTTTCTCAGTCTCCATTATCACATAAGCTAATTCTTCTTTTTTTGGAGACAGAGTCTTCGCTGTGCAGTTTGGG